GTATATATATATATATATATATATATATATATATATATATACATTTAAATGCGCTGTCACTTTGAAATATTGAAAGAACGTCGGAAACCGATACCTTTTTCTACATTAGCAGATACGATTACGAACGATAAGTCTACGATGATATTGCGTAAGCTCTGAATTTGCTCCCGTCGTCTCTTATCGGTTTCTTTAACATGTTCAGCACTGTGTGTACCCAATGATGAGACATGTTTTTCTTCCCATGAAAGCCCGCGTATCCATCGGTGGGTTATATTTTGTTCTCAGCCCGGCATGGCCATACGTATACGCGAATTATATGGATTTTATGTATACCAATAGAATGTTAGCATCCCTCGGTGCAACGTTAGCGTCGACCAGTTTTGTTGTGTTACGTATTTTCAAGGAATTTTTTACGGATACACAAAAATTCCATCCGATAGTTCCGTTATGTTATATGTTTTTAAGGGACTCCGTTGTAGATACATAAATATTCACTCGACAATTCCGTTGTTTACACAGATTTATAATTTTCATGGGTGTACAAAGATTTTTGATACAAGAAGAATGTTACAAAAGCAGATTTCGTGATATTGCAATTTAACTTTGCTGTGGTTATGTCAAGCAAGAAACTAAATATAATATTACGGGTCGCAAGCGGTAAATATACTTATAATATCTTTTTTGTAAGATTTTTGAAGGTTCTCTTTTGTACATGATCTCATATAATATATTTTATTTATCATTGTCTAAAATATTTATTGCTGTTTCATAAACCTTTTACTCTGTCAACCAATTATTTCTAAAGTGCTTTCTATGATTTTCCTCTTGAAATAAAATTTTACAACTCACTATATTTATTTTCAACTCACTATATTTTCTTCGCTCCGTAACATTACGGAATATTGAGTCTCCCACAAACTGATGATTCATTAAATACATTTACCGAAATTGGAAGCTTCCAGGTTATTAAAAATGAAGTACAATCCCATAATTCCACTTTCCCCCTATATACCGAGTTCTCCCTTGCATCTTAATAAAAGGCAGAAAGAACGGCGGATAAGAGTCATGCTATCTTCATGAAAAGTCTAAGAAAATTCTGGTCGATCATTGTTTTCAATTTAATCGAGATTGAGAAATATATCTGGAAAACGAAAGAGAAGATATATAAATAATCAAATCTATTAATAATTTATCAATTTTCAATTGGATACTTTATTTCAGTAACGCGACCGAACATCTGGAGTCTCTAGTGGCTCTCCATATTGTCACCATTAAATATCATTATTTATTTAACGTTTGGGAATTCCAATCAGTTACAAATCTACTTAATCTAAACTAGATCGGAAAATATGTTTTGAACAATGATGAGAAAAGTTATAAGCTTCGAGCGAGCTAATAATTTATTAATTTTTAATGACTTTTGTACGATAACGCTCGCGAGTCGCTCGACAAAGGATGATTTCGAGCGAGCCCGTAATCAAATAATAATGAAAAAGAATCTGCCTTCAACAATGTACAAGGCGGATAATTGGAAAGTGGAAGAAGAAAAGGACAGAAGAACGTAAGAAAAGAAGAACATAACGTTGCATTCTGGAAAGGAACCGGTATCCATATTGAAAAAGAAGAGATAGATATCGGCGTTTAGGGATTTCGTAACTAGCGTTCGGGGATCAACGTGAGCGATCCCGAACGCCTCGAACTCGAAACGGACTCACCTCCGTGTCGTTCCACCACATGTGCAGCCGATAGTCCCTGAGTATCGTCGGGTGCTCGTTGATGTGCTCCACCGCGAGCTTCACCGCGGGCATGACGCCGCGGCCGATGTGGCCCTCCGGCACGTGATTGCCGTACGGGAAGAAGCCGGCGATGTAGACGTCGCGTTTCTTGCTGCCACCGAGGTTGATCGGTTTCTGGCCGACGCACTCGCCGATCAGCAGCAGCCAGCAGCAGCAGGCGATCGCGGCCAGCAGCGTCAGGGAATCGCGACGTCTCGACCCGCCGCCGACCGCCGCGGACATTTCCCCGGCCGTCCTCATCCCGTCTCGTCCTCCTCTCCCCTTCATCCGGCCAGTCCCGACGACATCTCGCGATGCGGACGCGACGCGCGCTTTCATCTCGTGCTCACCCGGATCACCGGGTACCAGCCCGACGAGAAGCCCCGCGCGACGCTCGTCGCCGCACGTCCACCGACTTCCGCTCTCATGACGGAAGAAACGACGCTGGAGGGTGGGCGCACTGGGCGCACTGGACGCACTGGATGCACCGGACGCACTGGACGCACTGGACGCACTGGCCGCCCCGCTCCCTCGGCCAGAATCCGCGATCGATGTCGTTACGACGATCGCTTCCGCTCTCGAGGCCGTCGGGACGAGACACGTCGCATTCCACGTCGTTTCAACACTGGGCTTCCACTCGCGGGAATAATCCGCGAGTGATGTTCGAGCGTGCGACGTCGGGACGCGCGCGAGATCGGTTCGTTCACGACGATAGATCTCGGAGACCTCGCGAGAAATGTTCGTATACCGTTTTTTATTACGTTCGCAACGGTAGACGCTCACAGGTTTCCACAACAGGTTCTCTCAACGAAGTCCGATCGAATAGGCAGATCGCGGTGCGTCGCGGAAACCCGCGGGGCTTTGTGCGCACGACATCCGATACGGAAACGATGATAATAGGTGCTGCCGATATCTCGCGAGGGGCATATCGGGAACACGTACCATTTCTTTATCACAAACTCGAGTTTCGAAATTCGCGGACTACAACCGGCGAGATCCCGTCATAAATGTCGCTCGCTCATCGGCAATGCGTGGGTGGGGACGGGGGGGGGGGTCTTTATCTCAATGCCTCATTCCAGACGATTGCACGTTAACGTCGCTCGTGTCCCATCACCGCCGCAACTGACGACTCCCGGTTGCATCTGCAAACAATCTCGAGTCAACTAGTTATTTGTTTTGCTAGATTAGAGTTCCAGGATGTCGCGAAAGGGCGCGGGAAATGAGTCAAGAATATTATCAGTTTCATTGCCTCGCGCCTGTTTTCGACGAGTGGAGTTGGCGATAGCACCCGCCGGGGGATTAACGGAGATTAATGAGGAACAAGAGCAAGGTTAACGAAGAATAATGAGGATTAATGAAGGAATCGGAATACGAGAGAGAAACCCGTCCTCCCCGAACTGGCACGCGGGGTGCCTGCTGAAACCACTGACCTTAATTTTCGCGACGCGTTTTCCGTGCGTTTGCGACACGTTTACGTGAAAAAATGGAGCGAGAGAGAAAGAGAGAGCCGAGTGCCTCTCTGACAAAAATATTCACCTAAAATAGCTTGTGGAAAGATTAAATCTCTTTACGAACTAAGTTCGTTCTTTAGGTACCTATTACGGTACGTGTCGCCGTTCGCACGATAACGTACATCATATCCGAAATTAGAGCTTTATCTCGTTCGGCGTCATCTTCGGCGGTATATATATCGCATCGTCTCTCGCGCGTTATCAAAGTAGATAAATAAAGTTCGAGATTCTATCTAAAGTTTAATCCCGCAGCCGCGAGGCGCTATCGAGCCGGGCAAAGGGATGAAACCGCTTTACATTGTCGCCGTTAACTTACCGGCTCCGACAGCCGACCTGGCCCACTTTCCGCCGCCATTGCTGGGCGCATTTGATCCGCGAGGGGATGCGAACCTGTGCCTTCAGAAATAACATATCCCCGGGGCAGGCGTGAATTTAGCAATCGCAGATCGTCCGGCGTCGCACATTTCCCCGTCGTCGTTGTTGTAGTTGTCGTCGTCGTTGTCGTCGTCGTCGTCTCGGATGTTTGCCGATGGCACGCCACGTGAACTTTTTCACTCCTCCCCCGTAGTGTCCATTTCCTGGAAAACGCGCGAGAAAACATCTCCGATCACAGACGGAATCGAATAAATCTATTTACGTCCGAGCCAGAGGCAAAAGCCATCCCTCTCTCTTTCCCTCTCTCCTCAGCCTCTGATAAAAAGAAGTTGTCGCTCGGGAAAAATACCATGCGCACAAAATGAAAAATAGATATTTCCCTTGTGATCACCGATAATGTGACTTTCCGGCTGTACGTAAGTTAATTAATATAATACGCCGAGGTACTATTATTTCATCGGATCTAGCGACACCGTCGTATTATCATTTTACAGGATTGCCGGACGGTGAGGGATGATCGGGAAAATTGAGATGGAAAGGGGCGGCTTAGGGCGGAGAGGATTGATGGCGTTGTTCGGAACGGGTAAGATTATAGGGATGTTAATGGCTTAGGAATCTATCCATAATGAACATGGATTTGAGGTTGATGCAGCTAGAAGGTAGAAGTAGAGATAGAGATAGAGATAGAGATAGATATAAAGAGAGAGAGAGAGAGAGAGAGAGAGAGAGAGAAGAGAGAAGAGAGGAGGG